GTGTAGCTCAGCTACAGTGCTGATCAACCTCTGCTCTGCCCAGCCCCCCGGGGATCTGCAGACCACCGCTGAGGTTCCTATGTAAAGCAATTTAAAAATGAAGCCTGCAGTTCGCAGTGTAAATCCAAATCTGCTCTGGAGCCTGAATTCCACTGGAAGAATTACCGAGCTCCACAAATCATTAAAGTCTTGAAATGCCCTGGTTTAACATCTATAAAGAAGCAGGAGGGCAAGCTGAACTGGTCAGCTTTGGAGGCAGGAGGAACGCCACCAGACCTGCTGTAAACTGAGTTTGTGGGGCAGAGGCAAACCCACTTGCTCCTCTCAGCATCCAGTGTTGGATCTCCAAAACCTGCCGCACGCAGCAGTAGCAGAGTGCTCCAGGCACTCCCCGTGCTCCCTTCTAGGAGTAAAACTACTTAGGTTGAGGGCCGTATCCTCTCTGCTGTCGTAGCCCAACGGCCTTTATCGTTTTTTACCACAAGATGTCAGTGTGCAGACATAGCATAAAACCAGGAGGGTGGTTGCGGTTTGGGTGGTTTTTTGTTTGTGATTTATTTTTTTTTCCCCCCAGAGAGTGTTTTTGCTATCTGCCAGCCCCATGTGAAACCTCCCACAGTGCCCCTAGAGCAGCTAATCTCCTGCTTTTCTTCCCTACCTCCCCTTCTCCTGTTGATGTGAGATAGTCAGGCCTGAGGCTGCTACACAGTTATGCTGTTTCTCTAAATCATATCCCTAAAAAAAAAAATAGCAGCCTAAAAACGAAAAGAAATTGTTTATATAAAGAGAGCATACACCTCTGAGACATAGTGAGAGAGAAGGAAAAGAGGAGTCCGGGAAATAGAAGGGGCAAACTGGATTCCATTGAGTAGAGTGTAACCTTTGTGTTTTGGCTGCCTGCCTCTTTCTCTGGGCAGTGATTTGAAAAAAACGCCTGGGTATCTTTGCTCAAATAAGGAAATTCAATATAAGACTGTAGTTTAATCTAGTGGCTGTGTCAGAGTGGCTAATTCTACCTACAGGATTTTTGCCCCACTTCATTTACTGATGGTTATAAAACCTTAAAGGAAAGTGTAACTAGTATCTCCCGTGCTAATTTTTATTTTCACTAAAGGATCCAGAAATCTGGAAAATCCAGATCCAATTGCATTATGCCCTAAGCAATACTAGGGCCACACGCCTTAGAATCATAGAATCATTATGGTTG